TGTGTTTCAACCACTCCAAGCTTGTCTCTAAGGAATGTGAATCTTGAATGAGTAAGGGACTTCGTCAACAAATCTGCGCTTTGGTCTGAAGATGGTACTTAGTAGATTTCCAACTCATTCCTTAGAACTTTGTATCTCACAAAGTGAACATCCAATTCTATGTGCTTGGTGCGAGCATAATATACCGGATTTGAAGCCAATGCACTTGCACTCAGATCGTTATACCAAATTCTTGGAATTGAAATCTGTGGTATACTTAGTTCTCTCAGTAGTGACTGTATCCAAGCAATTTTCTGATGCACTATACTCAGCTTCTGTACTTGATCTTGCAACATGTTTTTTAGAACACCAAGATACCAGATTGTTTCCAAGATACAAACAATAGCCTGCTGTGGACCTTCTATCATCTAGGCACGATGCCTAGTTTGAGTTTGCAAAGGCTGCTGTTTCCATGCTGTCATTTTTTTGAATAACAAAGCCATGATTCACAGTTTCCTTCAAGTATTTAAATATTTTCTTAAGTGTCTTCCAGTGAGCATCTGTGGGAGCTTGGAGAAATTGACCCATTTTGTTCACAACATAGGTAATGTCAGGTCTCGTATGTGCTAGATATTGGAGACTACCAACAACATTTCTATAAAGAGTTGGGTCCTTCATAACCCGTCCTTCAGCCTTAGAGATCAGTTTTTCAACTGCCATATGTGTTGGTTTCAGATTCTCATAGCCAAACTTTTCAAGCAGATCAATTGCATATTTTGTGTGAGTTAGGCACAGCCCTGTTGCATTTTTACACACCTCAATATCTAAGAATTGACTAAGACTTCCCATATCCTTAAGAGCAAAACATGCATTCAGTTTTTCAATGAACACTTGTAGCTGTTCACCATTACTGCCCGTCACCACTATATCATCTACGTATACTAACTCAAATAGCACATTTCTTTCATCCATCAAGAAAAATAGTGAGTTATCTACTTTGGACTGTTTGAAGTTCCACTGCAACAATGTATTCTTTAGTTTTTTCATACCAAGCTCTTGGAGCATGCCGAAGTCCATACAGTGCATTCTCCAATTTGCACACAAAGTTGGGATTTTTCTGATTTACAAAGTCTTGTGGCTAATTCATGTACACGGTTTCCTCCAACTTACAATTCAAGAATGCATTGTTAACATCAACTTGTCTAATTTTCCATTCTCTGCACATAGCAAGGGTTAGTATGATCTTCAAAGTTGATGCCTTAATGACTGGGCTATAGATTTTACCAAAGTCCACTCCAAGTGTTTGCAGAAACCCTTTGACAACTAACCTTGCCTTATACCTTTGCATCTTGCCTTCTAAATCACACTTCAGTCTATACACCCACTTGTTCTTGAATACCTTTATTCCTTGTTTTGGAAGTACCAAATTCCATTTCTTATTCTTCATTAATGCATTATACTCTTCTTGCATAGCCTTTTTCCAATTTTCGCTCAACAGGGCTTCCTCAACATTATGTGGTTCAATCTCAACTATGTGAGAATCCTGAAAATGACAGGTATAAACCTTTGGCTTGAAAATCCCTGCTTTACTTCTGGTGATCATATGGTGTCCTCTCTCCTGTGTGACACCTTGAA